GTACCAGCAAATATGAAGCTAGTCCAAGCACCACTGTGGACAGAAGATAGTTGGCAAATGGAAGCATAAACTGGAGAGGAACAAACAAAGCAGGGCTTACTTGGTAACTGATTCTGAAAAACTGGGTTTTGAGCACAGGGGAAGCATACTTTTAGTTTTTGAAGTTTGTGCTAGTGCAGATAAGCAGATTGGGGTCACTGTGGTTTGGGTATAGATGCAATCTTGCCCCATTTTGTAGTCACAGATGGCAAAGCCAGGTGACACTTGTGCATAAGAATTCATATTTTTAAGAAATCTACTTATTGAGGGTTGATTGATATGTAAAATGCTGTACATATTTAATGTATATAACTCAATGAATTTGGAGATAAGTATACACCCATGAAAACATTACCACTATCAAGGCTATACATATACCCATCACTTCCCCAAATTTCCTCTCACCCCTTCATTATAGTAGTATTTGTGTGTGTGTGTGCATGTGTGTATGGCAAGAACACTTCACATAAGACCTACTCTTTTGGCAAATTTCAAGTGTGCAATACAGTATGGTTAGCTATAGGCACTATGCTGTATTGTAGATTTATCATGCATAACTGAAATTTTGTACCCATTTACTGTAATATCTCCATTTTCTCCTCCCCATAGCCTCTGACAACCACTGTTCTACTCTCTCCTTCTAAGAACTCATCTCCTTTTGCCTAACAATGGCTATACACATATTCCCAATGCTGCAATGACTTTTAATCCTTGTACAAGAGCCTGTAAGGCTCCTTTGTGACGTGCCTCCAACTCACCAGCGTCATCTCCTATGGCACTCCCTATCACTCACTACAATCCAGCTGCACTAGAATTCTTACAGTTTTTAGAAGACAGCCAGTCTAATGCTACTTTTATTTGTACTTCCTTTGCCTACAATATTCTTGCCCTAGATACTGTGTGGTTTGTTTCTTCTTTTTGCTTTAGTTCTCTTCTGAAAAGTCATCTTCTCACAGAACTGCCTAGAATACCTACTAGTTATGTGACCTTTGTCATCTCGTCTATAAAATGGAAATTATCGTATCTTCTCAGGATTTCTATGAAGATTACATGAGTTAATATGTATAAAGTATGGAGAAGAGTGGCTTATATCAGGTTTCATTCAAATGATTTTTATTATTTAATCAGCTTTAGCCATAAAATCATACTTCCCTTAATTGCTGTCATAATTGAGCTCATGCTCAATATGTGATCATTATCACATGATTGATAAGAGGATCAGTAGTTTGTGTTACATTTTTGTTAGTGATGTTCACGCTTGGATCAGGATCATGGAAGAGGGAATGGAATGTAGGAAAACTTACGATGGAGGCTTTGGTGACTTCCTATTCACAAGAATGATGAAGCAAACAGAATAAAGTTGTGATCTTTAGGAAATGATAAAATGATGGATCATTTAAAGAAGAAAGTGAGGATGAGAAAATGATAAATGAGGAAAGATTATTAATCAGTTTTAATTCCTTAAGGACAAAGTCCAAGTTCCAGAAATCCATAGGTACCTTCTGTGGGTAACTCGAAACAGCAGGCCTGTGATTTAACCACACCTCTTCCCTTGAACACAAGCTCCAGAGCAGGTGCTGCATATTTATCTCTCTTCATTTGCAGGTGACATACTTGGAGGCCTGAACTCCTGTTTAAGTTCACGTTGCTCCACTTAAGCAAGTCTTTCATAGACTCAGCTTACCTCATTCATTAGATAGAAGATTTCAGACAGGCGTTCTCCAAGGCCATGGTTTATCCAGGGCCTGTGGCTACCATGCTCTTCTGAGCTTGGACTACAGAATATTCTGATTCCATCGGTCCCACTAAATCCTCTCTCCAAAAGTAAATGCCACTCCCAGAGAAATTTACTAACCTCCAAGTATACTCCCTCCATCTCTTCTTCCAAACCTACCCTCTATCATTACTACTGTATTTGTGTTCACAACAGAACACAGTAAACTCAAGGTCTGAACCTTCCACGGAGCAGATTACCTTCTTGGTTTTGCACCTGGTGGGAGTGGAAAGTGTCATTCATCCATAACTATTGAGAAAACGACCCTGGCCCTCTAGAACAATAAGTGTCGTGCTCTAGGGTTCCAGCCGGAGTGATATGGTTAACAGTACTAGGTGACACCTCTGCCTTAGAGCAATTTAATTACATTTTTTGCTGTTAAGTACCAGATCCTTACCCAGTTCTGATAAAAATTACCCCACCTAAAGGTCTACAATGCAAGATTTTTTCTGACACTCTGTGGACCAATATTTAAACTTCCCCAAATCCTGTTAAGCTGGTATTTCTTGCAATATAGTGACCTGTCCTGAGCTTCTTTTTGAACTCTTCATGCCAATTTATGGGAAGGAGCAATGTATATGTGCAGATAGTTCATATCTGTTGCCTGCAGAGGACGTATGTCTGGTGCCTCACCTAAATATATACCTACTTCTCAACTACAGTACCTTGTCAGAAGCTAAATTAGAATGCATAAAGCTATTTTGTTCAGGAACCCAGAATTTTCTGAAAGTCGCCGTAGGCAGCAGTCATCTTTCCCTAAGAGATTCCCTGTACAGCAGAAGAGAAACCCAAAGAAGCACTTTGTGGCTCACTGAGTGCCTCTCATAGTGCAGAGAATTCTGATAAGATGTTCTGGGATTTTCCCCCTCCTTTCTAAGTTCATATCTGTATCTTAAGATCTTGCGATACTTGTAAAGGCAATAATTTGAAGGAAGGAGAGAACTAAGAGTGATGATTCTACCATATTTACACAACATCAGTGATGCACCTACATTTTCAGTGACACCAGCACTTTAGAAAAATACTAGTACCTGAAAATCTATGACCTATCAGACAGAGACTGACATCACTAAAATCTCTTCTGGTAAGTCAAAGTTTAATATCCTTTGTGTATTCAAAAAATATTTTTAATTATCCACTATATGTTTGTCTATCATCTAGGCACTGAGATACAAATGTGATCAGAATAGATAAAATCCAAGATATTACAGTGCTTATATTTTAGGTGAGAAAGTCATTAAATAAATAATAAATAAGGTGATTTCAAATAAATTAAGTATTCAAGATAATCAAAGAATATTGGAATATTAGACAATGAGGTGAAGAGTGTTACTTTAATTAGACTAATCGTCAAAAGGTCTATCTAGGGAGGTGACACTTGAGCTGAGAAGAAGTTCAACATAACTGAGGGACAGAAAGAAATCTAGTGTCATGGAAGCATAATATGCAATGGCAGAAAGATTAGACACGTGACAGAGAAGTCAGTGTGACCATATCAAGGGTTCAAGAATTATTGTGACCAAAAACTAGAGGCACAGGGCAAATTCTATTCAAACAGAAAACATCAGAAATATGTTTTCACTACACACGTTGTGCCAGAAACTAAAAGATCCCTACTTGACCCTCTTCAGTTTGATAGAGGCCATCCCTTGTGGACTTATGCCATGTAATGAAACCCTGACATTCATCATTTATTGCTCCAAACAATCCCTTAAAATTCCACCTTCCTCTCTGGATTCCAGTGTCCTGCCTCTAGATAGGCTGTCTCAATATGTTCTACAGAAGGTGGTGGACTCTCAACAGTGGAAAGGTTGACCTCAATGCCTGACAACAGGTAAGAGTGCAGCCTGGATATGTGATTACAGAACCTTGTCTGATGATCTGAAAATGCCCAGCATGGCGTTTTAAAGTTCCACTAAAAATCTACATAATCTGCACAATTATCCCATCCAAGGGAAGAGGTTGACTGAACATCTACATGAACTCTGCACCCGAACAGCTTTCTGCTTTCCAATAAGTTCAATCAAATGTATCTTAGTGAATTAGATAATGAAAAGTTCACATTAAAAAAACAAAAGAATAAGCAAACTATAAATAATAATGATAATAACAATAATAAACCAAAATAACAAAGAAATGCAAACACATGGCTTAACTGGCATCTAATCACTCTTTTCCCTCATTGCCTTAGCCCCAGCTCTGCCCATTACCATTGTCCTCAAACCTCATGTCCTCTTCTTGCTCAAAATATGAATTTTTCTCCCTCAATATGCACATCCACAAAGACACACATGGACACCCGCAATCGCGGAGAATTAGGACTGCCAGTTCAACCCTGTCCTCACTTTGACAAGGGACATCTCATATGTTACTATTGTCTCTAAATATCCCTGAAGGTGAATTAACACCCCAGTCACCGTAAGTCTGAAGCACTCACCTGTCTCCTGTCCCCTTGGTGAGAGACAAAGGGAGAGAGGAAAGGTTTCACTAAGAGCAGAATCAAATGATGCAGGGTCGTCAAAGAGGGAATGGAGTAAAACAATATCACTTGATCTGACACTGAATTTATTTCAATCATCATTTCTTGAGAAATATTACCTTCAGGCAGAACAAGTTACATAATATGTGGGATCGGTGAAAAATGAAAATACAATGTCTCTTTTTTGAACATTATTAAGAATTTCAAGATCACAACAGCGGAGCATTGAATCTTGCATGAGTCCCTTCAGAGCATGAGATCCTGTGTGCCTGCAGAGGTCACGTGTCTATAAAGCTGGCCCTGAATTCAGACAAAGCTTTTGGTCATGAATACAGACACAAACACTTAAATTCCATTTTGAAGCAACTGAGAGAAAAGAGAACAAAAACCTAAATAACTGCTTTTAAGAGCAGGAAGAGATGAGTGTGTTTATGAAGATCCGTTCAATTTGGGGGAGTACAGAGAAGCTTTCGGTTGGGTAATCCGGAGAAACTTCCCTGAGAAACAGGCATCCGAATTATAGTTTGAAGAATCAACAGCAAAGAATATGTATGTAGCCAAAGCTGAAAGAAGAAGAAAAAAAAACAAAACAGATTTCTAAGGATCTCTGCTGAAGCAAACTGTTTCAATAAAATCATGCTTTCTTTATTAGACATGAACCATGTTAAAGATACAGACAAAGATTCTATGTATAAGGTGAAACTAAAGTCACCAGATTTGCTTTAGGCTTGTTTTCCACTTCTTCAAGAATCTATTTATGATCCACAATTCTTGTGCCAAGCAGAGCTGACGTCCTGAACTCCTGGTGTCCTGGGTGTTGGCGCCCATTGGAAAGGCAGCACTGGAAACATGGGGAGAGATAAAGTTCCAATTTGAGCTGTGGGAAAAGAAGAGGATGTTAATCTCAAGAAGGAAAATCAGAGAGAAAGGGGGAAGGAAAAAAGAAGATAGAAAATAGAAAAACAAGTTAATTAGAGGTTGAAGAAACACAGAACACAAAAAGGCTTACCATTGTTTTTTAAAAGATGAGTCAACTACAACCAGCATGACCAGGGTAACTACGATCGTCAAACAGATCAATATCAAGAGGATGGAGTATCCACCTGGTTAGTGATAAAATACAAATGTCAACCCATAAAATACTCTCTGTGCCACCACAGCTAAGCCTTCTCATTTCACAAGTATGGGGGCTCCTAGAATCCTCCTCTGTACTTTCTAGAGCCCTCATTTTAATTCCTCCCCAACCCTCTTCCATCAAGTCACCAGTTCATCCCTTCTTTTCTCTTTAGTATCTGTAATCCCCTACTTCTGTTTCCTTCAAGTTTAACTGCTGTCATTCTTTGCCCTTCTTTATGGGGACTCTCCCAATTTCAACCTTCTTGTGCTGGGCATCCTACCCACTTCCCCTGCTCCTCACAAGCACTAAGACTGTCTCCATGACTTCCCAGCTGGATCCCAGCCCTTGCTCACCCCAGTGGATGATTATGTCATGGCCCCTGAGACTGCTGTGCTTCACTCGACAAGACAGGCCAGCCGCCTCCCCTGCCGCCACATCCAGGGTCGCTCGGAGATACCATGTCCCGTCAGCATTGGGCAGGAGATCACTGTGCTGAGTGCCCACCTGCTCCTGCTCACCCCGCATCCACCTCACCCACACAGGCTTTGGGTAGAATCCTGAGACGTGGCACACCAGCAGCAGATGGCCAGGCCTGGGATTGGGGCCACTGGACACCCACGCCTCTGGCTTCACTGGACAAGAAAAGATGGGGAGAAATGGAATTTAAGGGGAATCCCCTGCCCAGAGCTTCAGGGTTTTAGGTGCTTTAGAAGTTTGAGCAATACCTTATTTCTCTTGTGTAAGAAACAATCCTCAACCCACACATCTAACCCTATAGCCTCTCATGTGTTTCAAAATGATAATGAGAACTGGCAAATTCAAGTACAAAAGTTAAAGCACTAGGACTAGGACAGGAGAGAGAGTTCGGCTCACCTTGTCTTTCCAGTTCTGACTTTCCGGCTACAAGGAGGCCTGCCAGAAATCGAGGGCAGGTGTGACCAAACATGCTCTGGACTATTTCTTTAATATCTCGGTAGTGATTGAGCACCTTGCAGACATTCTGGGCCCGACTCCCTGCTGCTGGAGATGGCACCCAGAAACTTCCTTGGAAACTGAGGAAATCTGATCCTTGATATGCCCCATTTATGAAGAATTCTGAGGCCTTCCCAGCTTGCATTTTACAGCCGGCTGATATCTGAACCTCAAAGGGGTCTGAGGGTAGAGAGGAAAGAGGAAATCAATATGGAAAGAATGACAGGAGGAAAAAATAAACAATTTAGAGAGTAATGAGATTTAAGGGAAGGAAAATTTGCCAGGAAATCATATAGAGTTTAGGTGAAAGACTAGAGTTTAGGTGAAAAAGGGGAAGGAAAAGTGTGGGAAGAAAAAATGAAGATAATAAAGGTACTTTGAAATAATTATTGGGGAAGGGATAGATGGAAAGGCTAGTCTAGAAGAACCCATATGAGGGTGGTAGGTACAGGACAGGCCACATGAACACTCAGGCCAAGGAGAAAAAAGGCCAGAAACCTGGTTGGGAAACAGAATGTGAGGCCAGGAATGACAGGCAGAAAATCAAGAAGAGACAACCACTCCAAAGAGCCAGTACTTGAGGGTATATTCAGGGACATGTGGAGATATGTACATGTAGGCCCTTCTCTGTCTGGGGGGGTTTGGGGGTTCAAGAACTAGTGAATGGTCTAGCAGAGGAGGGAGTGGGAGGAAAAGGGAGACAGGAAACAAGGTCAGAAAGGTTGGATGATGCTCAAAGCCTACACACTGTCTTCCCCTTTGGAAGATGGTTGGAGCCCCTGGGAAAATTATCAGCTCAGAACAATAAACTTACATTCAAATTGAAATTGATTGACAAAGGTCTGCACTTCCTTGGCAAAACCACGCAAGTACAACTGCAACAGAGCCTGTAAGTTCTTCAACTCCTGCTTGCTGAAGTCTCCCTTGGACCAGGGACGCAGAAAGCGGATGGTTCGCACAATATTATCCCAGGAGTGAGTTTGCAGTTCGCCCAGCCAGCCTGAACCCTGAGTGTTCACCCAGCTGTGGTTGGCAAAGGAGGAAATCTGGAGCATGCGGAAGGAGAGGGGCTCTTCTGCTGCTGGATGATGGGATCCTAGAGGTTGGGGAGCTGAGAGAGAGGGAAATGCCAAGTAGAGTGAGTGTAAACAGATGGGAGATGAGATGCCACTAGAAGAAGAGGAGCCCAGAGAGGAGAGGAAGGATGGAGATAGTTACACATATCCCACTACTGCTTTTCCCCTGGGCCAAATTCCTATCCCCCAAATCAGAGACAGTAACTGAGACTTTCAGCAAGAATTCTGAGCCTGGAAGTAGCCTGGAGGTCAGACTCCAGGGGCATCCTAGAGCAGCATGCTCCCTTTCCCAGGTCCTCCCCAGAGCTTCCTCTCCACCCTCCTATGCCCTACTCTAGGTATCCTCCCACCTGAGCTCTGCTTACCCGCTGTGCTCTCCCCAGGGCAGCAAAGCTCCCTGAAGGGGAGCAGGAGCAGGAGCAGGAACAGCATTGGAGCTCTGTCGGGGGAATGGTGCCTCTGCAGGACTCCTGCCCTCAGAACTCAGAACTCAGACAACAGCCCCCCTCCCTACACCCTCTCACACTGTCATCTCACTTCCCTTTCCACACACAGTCAAACGTCTCCCTCTGCCCACGTCCCTACAAGAGAAGCCCCACTGCCTCCCTTCCTCACAGCCTCCCACAGGGTCTCTCACTTCCCCTCCATCTCTCCCACGTTCTGGATTCCAGGTTTTCTCCCTACTCTTGTCTACATCCACCCAACCTCCTCTATTATACTAACTGCTGGAAAAGGAGTCCTGGCTTAGAACAAAGTCTGTGATCTGGCTAAAAAAATGTACTAGCATTTGAACTTGCAGAAATCAAATCCACACTTGGGTTGTGAATGTTCTCATTTGTGAGAAGGGATGAAATTGACTAGATGGTACCCAGTGACCTATCCAGCAGTCTCCTTGCTCCTGCCTCTCTGTGGCCTTCCCCTCCACCTGTCTGCCACCTGGCCTTCTTTCTCCCTCTTGCTGGTCTTTCCTGCTTTGGTCTACTGACCCATCATTTTTGCCTCTGTGTCTACTTTTGCTCTTCTAACATGCCCTGCCTGTTCTCCCTGTGTCCTCAATCTCTCCTCTGTTTCATCACTCTGCTCTTCTCAAATCATTATCAGAAGACAGTAAGCATCCTGAGTGCAGCTAAAGAAATGTCCTTTTGCCCAGTTTCCTCAACCAAACCACCTGTCTCTGTAGAAATGGTCCATGAGTGGACTTGACATGGAGGTGGAAAGCTGGAGGGCAGATAGTTTTCACCCATGTTGTATGGATTGGTCTGGAGGGAGTACACAGGAGCCTTGGATCCCCACCCAAATGACATGAGCATGCCTAGAAGCCTGTGGGCCAGCTTCACCTTGGGAAGGAAGAGAGGGAGGGCAGGCATGAAGGCTCCACATTACACTTCATGGCCTGGAAACACAAGTATTGAGTCTTTATTTTTGTTCCTTTTTCATTGATATTTGACATGACAACCTTAACACCATTGAAATACCATTCCTTTGTTTAAATTTCATGCATTTACTCAAATGCCATTTACTCAGAGCCCACCTGGTTTCAAAAAAATTGCCAGAGACTAAGAGAACCTAACACAAAACTTGTTGTCAAAACTTGTGAATGGCATACAAAGAGAAGATAGGGGATGACATCTCAGAACACACCTCTCTGAAATTTTGTTTAAAAAATGACAGCCTCATTGCTCCCTTATTAATGCTTTATGTGATGATAGGAAGGCATAACTGTAGACAGAGCTTGTGAGATATTGCAAAAGGAGAAAAAGGATCTATTGCTTATAGAAACTTATCCAAAAAGTTGTCTTCAACTTAGGCCAGAGGTGCATGTAGCACAGCTCCTAAAGTTCTGCTTCTCTCATGAACATTTGTTAATCAAAACTTGAGCGTAATGCACACCATCTGGGGATGGACACGCTTGAAGCTCTGGCTCAGAGGAGAGGGGGGAAAAGGCAACATATGTAACCAAAACATCTGTACCCCCATAATATGCTGAAATAATAATAATAAAAAAAACTCCAAAGATCAAGAGTTACTGAGGAGAAGGTCATATGCCAGTAACAAATGTCATTTGCCCCTAAATAGTTGCTATGGTATAAGATAATTTTGTGTGAGTTATAAATGGAAGTATTTATGAAATTTGATTCTGGGATTTGGGTCTATAGTTCTAAAGTACACATGGCATTTTAAATGTTTTCCCTTTATGTAAGTGAATATCAACACACACAGACACACGAAGAGCAAGATAAGAATGTAGGGTAAGGGACATCAGGCAAGGAGGGTGAGATAAGAAAGAGGAGACATTGAGAACATTAGGAAGGGGCAATGACAGAGGACCAGAGAAAACAGGGCATCAGGGAGGGAGGAAGGCTGACTTGGGTGGGTAAACTAAAACACTCCTTCTAGGTTAAAGAAGACTGGAAGGTAAGCGATTTGGCAATATCACCCTCTTATTTTACAGATTTGGGAATAGAGGCTAAGGAAGGTGAAATGACCTTTCAGAATCACATGGGGGCTTTTCTAAGGTGGTCTAAAGGAAGTGAGGACACAGCAGCTGGAAACAGGGAGGTAAGAGAAAGTCTGGAAGTCAGGGCTGGAGGGAATGAGAGGCGGGGTATAAGGCGCAGGGCGATGGGAGGCACAGTTTTTGTCTGAAATGCAATTTGCATGAGGAAGACATTTGTCAGTTGGAAGAGAGGAAGTCACTACAAGCTACTGAGAAAAAGGTTTCTGAAATCAGAGACCAAACACCAGCTCTGCAAGTCAGAAGTTCCGTCTCCTAGTGAAATGCTGCTTCTGCCATTTCAACTGTTAGCAGTTCTCTTCCCAGGTGGTGACAGTGAGAACGGTAAGAGTCACTGTGGCAGCTCCCAGCACTGGTGCAGGGGTTTTGGACAAAAGCATGCTGCACTTACCCAGGTGCACTTGGACATGAAGGGTCTGAGCCCTGCTCTCTCCAGCCCTCTTCTGCCTTTCTGGGTGTTGGGGCTGGAGCCTGAGAGGCGGGGGCGGTCAAATATGTCAGGCTTTATGTGTTCCTCAGACTTTAGGTTCTTGATCTCTGGATTTTTTTAATTTCCATTCTCTCTTACTCCCTCCTGCTTCTCCCTTTCTCTTCACTGTCTTGTTCTTCTACTCTTCCCAGCTTTCCAGGGACCAACCTCTTTCCATGTCATCCAAATCTCATCCTTTGCCAACAGCACCTGGGCACACAATCAAGGTTCAGGCTGGTTGGATGATTTGCAGATTCATGGCTGGGACAGTGACTTGGGCACTGCAATACCCCTGAAGCCCTGGTCCAAGGGCAACATCAGTGATGAGGAGTTTGCTGAGCTGGAAGAGATATTTCGAGTCTACTTTTTTGGATTTACTCAAGAAATACAGGGGCGTGCCAGTGAATTCCAGATGGAATGTGAGTCCAATCCCCTGAACTGTTAAGATTCCAAGGACTTTCTTCTCTCTCTTTTTGCAAGCCGCTAATCCCTCTGATCCTCCTCCCTTCCTTTCTGCTTTACCCAACTGCATGCACACACTCTTCTAGAGCAGTCTCTTGCTGACTTCACACCTCCACACTGTATTCCAGAGCCTGGCTGCTTCTGACTCTTCTCTGAGAGATTAGGGCTCCCCACTGGTATCCAACTCCTGGTGTGTCTTATGTGGACCTTCCTCCTCAAGGTCCCTTACTTCTACCCTGTGCCCGAGTGACCTACAGTGTGGTTTCCTCCTCTGATCCGTCTCTTCAGTTGTCTCCTTCCTGCATCTTCTCTTTCTATGGTCCTCTGGCTCATGCTGAAATGTTGCTCTCTGGACTGCATCACATTCTCCCACACACACACTTTTATCATAGACTGCATTCATGACATGCAAAGTTTTTCCAGTGCTCTTCTTTCTGAAAATTTCTACATGGTGTAATTGGGGTTTGGCTCATCATTTCATATCCAAGAACTTTATCCCAACCAAAATCTAAATTTCTAGGTCCTTTTCTCATGGCTTTCTTTCTTATTTCTGTTTAATAACCTGTTCTCTGTTTTCTCTCTACCTAGACCCCATTGAGATCCAGAGCATAGCAGGCTGTGAGCTACATTCTGGGGGTTCCACAGGAAGCTTCTTGAGGGGAGCTTTAGGAGGATTGGATTTGCTCAGTTTCGAGAATGATACATGTGTGCCCTCCCCAGAGGGCGGCAGCAGGGCACAGCATATCTGCACACTAATCATGCAATATCAAGGTATTATCGATACTGTGAAGAAGCTCCTCTTCAAAACCTGCCCCCGATATCTCTTGGGCGTCCTTGATGCCGGGAAGGCAGAGCTGCAAAGGCAAGGTTAGTCCTGCTCTCTATTTCACTTCCCACCACCTCCTCTAAGCCCATGAGTAGGAAGCTACCCAAGAAGGGCAGGGGTTTAATCAAGAAGATATTGCGATCCAAAAGCAGTGGAAGAGGTCATGTCCAAGCTTGTGGGCTTCTGAGTTCCTATGATCTGAATTTGAGCCATGATATGACACTCTCACTGCCCCTTTCCACCCCAGTGAAGCCAGAGGCCTGGCTGTCCAGTGGCCCCAGTCCTGGGCCTGGCCGTCTGCTGCTGGTGTGCCACGTCTCAGGATTCTACCCAAAGCCCGTGTGGGTGAAATGGATGCGGGGTGAGCAAGAGCAGCCGGGCACTCAGCACAGTGATCTCCTGCCCAATGCTGACTGGACATGGTATCTCAGAGTAACCCTGGATGTGGCAGCTGGGGAGGCGGCTGGCCTGTCTTGTCGGGTGAAGCACAGCAGTCTAGAGGGCCGGGACATCATCCTCCACTGGGGTGAGAAAGAACTGGGGCCCAGACTGGACATGGGAGAAATTGGTCCTCAGGCAGACAGGCAGGCACTGGGGAAGGATGGGCCTTGACAGATGAATGAGGGAGAGGGGTAGATTGATTAATTTCTTGGACCCCAATCCCAGCAGGAATAAACATAGAGGAGCCAAGTTACAGGAAAGATAAGAATGAAGGACCTGCAGATTGTATCAGTTGGGGATAGAGAGATCAAAGGATGGATGAATGGTGTCAGGAATATGAGAGAGGGAGTTGGAGATGACCATACATTGGAAGCCGCTGAATGGAGATGCTGACACTCAGGTGGGGAAAGGATGGCCAGGGGATTCAGTGGGTGGGATTTGAAGTGACATCCTTTTGTCTTCTCCCAATTGCCAGGACACTCCATCTCCATTGGCTTGATCTTTTTGGCAATAATAGTGCCCACCTTGGTCTTGTTGCTTTGCCTTGCATTATGGTATATGAGGCGCCGGTGAGTCTTGTTTGGATTTTTTTTTTTTTAATCTTCCTTTTCTGTCCACCCTCCCACTCTTTTCCATCATTTGAACTGTTTCCTTGGTTTAGCCTCAGTCTTTCCACCAGAACCTTTCCCTCAACTCCCATCTCCTATACGTGGAGATATATTTTTAATCCAGTTAAAATACACAGAACAAAATTTACCATCTTTATCATTTTTAAGTGTACAGTTCAGTGGAGTTAAGTGCATTCACATTGTTATGCCAGCAATTTCCAGAACTCTTTCATCCCTTAAAACTGAAACTCTATTCCTATTAAACAGTAATTTCCCATTTCTCCCTCCCCCCGGGGCCCTGGCTAAGATCATTCTACTTTCTGTATCTATGAAATCGAATATTCTAGGTACTTCATATAATTGGAATTGTATCATAATTGTCTTTTTGGGACTGGCTTATTTCACTTAGCAAAAGGTCCTCAAGGTTCATACATGTTGTAGCATGTGACAGGGTTTCCTTCCTTTTTAGGTCTGAATAATATTCCATTGTAAGTACGTGACACATTTAGTTCATTTATTCATCGATCTATGGACACTTTGCTTGCTTCTACCTTTAGGTGTTGTGAATAATGTTGCTATGAACATGGATGTACAAATACCTCTTATGTAGAGCTCTTTTTCTTATGGTTTTAACAGGTCATATCAGGATATCCCTTGATCCCTATCTGTATCTTCTCTTCCATTTGGAAATAGCACCAAGAAGTCTAGAATCCCAAGATGCATCCCAGGAGTCAATCTCATCATATTTCATCAAATGATCATCATATTTTATCAAAATGGAGTTTTCATAGATTTTAAGATAAATTATAACTTAAACACCAGCCAAAAATTATTATTAGAAGACTGTATCAGTAGTATGATCTATGTCTACATATTCAAATGTGAAAAAGAAAGTGTCTCAGAATAAATGAAATATAGATAAAACTTAATGGTGAATTCTCTTTGGCTTTTTATTTTAAAACTTTTCTGCTTCTGTTTAAATATCATTTGTCAAAGTAAGTTAAATATAATTATACTGAGATAATTCTATCCCAGCAGGGCATTCAATGCAGGGCATTTTTTATGTAATTTCTCTGTCTCTGCCTGGATGACTTTCTAACCCTCAAAGCCCATCCGAGAAGCTTCTTCCTCTAGAAGGCCTTTCCCAGTGCTATAATGGAAGTAACCCTCCCTTGTCTGATATCACCAAGAGAACCACTTATTCTGCACCCACAGCATTGCAGTTATTTTTGTTTTTCTTCGTTTTCTTCTTGGAAGTTCCTTGAGGGCAGTGCTCCCTGTTTTTGAGTTCCTGAAAGATCTCTTACCTGAAATGCATTTTCTCAGTAAAAATTATCTGAGTTGTTGACTGCCAAGTTAATGGTCTCTTTCAAAGTCATCCTCTTCCTTCTTTTTTTCTCTTTAGTTGATATTCTAGATCTTCTTACTAAAATATTTTCCACTTAGTCAAAAAATATTATGCATTTCTTGTTTCTGTTCTGAACTCCTCTGGAGAAAACCGCCGTTTTTTGTCCTCACTACAACTACAGTCTAACTTCAAAGAATCATTGGAATGGGCTCCTGCTTCTCATTTGTTCAGTGAGAATGAGTGAGAGGCAGGATGGGTGAGGAGTAATAGTTCAGGTGGATTGTGTCATACTCAAGGAGAAGAATTAAGAGGGCAGTTTCTGCCCTCAGCGTCTTTATTTGATATCTGTGCTATATAACTCAGTTATATTTTTGATTTACATTTACCTTTATTCATTTTTTGTTTATTTTATAGTTTTCTAGAAGAGTCCATCTTAAAACATCCTAATTCAATTTGATTAACCTAGCAGCAGGAAGGGAGATTTCAGCATATATTTTTATAGGACTTAGGAAAGGAGATCAGGGGAAATAGTAGTTTTAGAGAAGCCAAGGCCACTAGACACTAGTCTCCTACTTGTAAATTTTAGGATAATATGGTCTTTAGAGTTTGAGAAGTGTAGGAAACGTTTGAAATCACAGCTTTCCCCCTCTTCTATTAGTGCAACTGGTTACTTTTCCAGAATACATTCAACTGGACCCGATCTTAGAGAATAGCCATGCTATTGCTGTATGCTTGTGAACCATACAATGTGGAACACAGGAATGTGAACTACGAACTAGCTGCAGCAATACCACCTGGAAGATTACTAGAAAAACTAATTGCTACCCCCAACCTACTAAATCAGAAAATATGGGTATGCAAACCAGTGATCTGTTTTAACAAGGCTTACAGATGATTATGATTGATATTTAAGTTTGAGAACCTTGTTCTAATGGTTTCTCAACCTCTGCACAATTGACATTTTGGGCCAAGTAATTCTTGTTGAGGAAGCCTGTTCTGTGCACTGTGGGATGATTAGCAGCATCCTGGCCTCTACCCACTAGATGCCCATAGTATCTCCTCAGTTGTGACATCAAATATATCCTCAGACATTGCTAAATATTCCCCAGGAGGACAAATTGACCCCAGATAAAAACCAAGATCAAAGAAAATGGTCATAATTTCATGCCCCTGTTTACCAAGAATACTTGGCTTATAGCGTATAGGTGATGTAATTTGGCCTGATCCAGCTGCAGCCTACGATTAATGTTGGCTGGTTGAGGAAAGAGGCATTCTCATTTTGTCTGGGATGATGTGCACAATGTCCAAAATTGCTGTAGAATTTTGTTCCATAGGAAAAGCTGTCCCAGGAATGAAGCTAACATATAAAAGAAAGAAGACAGGTAAAAGAGAAAATGATGAGATAACAGGGCCAAAGCGCAAATCAACTATACATGAGACTTGAATTACCTCTGGATATTTTAGTTACATGAACCTAATAAGTTTCAGCTTTCCTTTTGAACCAATTGAGTTTGAATTTTTAGTTGCTTGAAAATTCTTACATTACCATGATTGCTAATATCTCGCACCCACTTTTTCATATTTTCTTATATTTTTCCTCTGTTTTCTTTAATCCTCTTATTCTTTCTCTTCCCAAATTATCATTCCTCCACAGTGGTTTTTTTGAACTTATGATTTTCCTCTAAGTGTCCTTACCTTAATAAACCTTAATTTACCTGTGATTTTAACAGGTCATGTAAATATGACCTCTGCATGCATGACTTTCATAAATAGATCTTCAACCACAAAATACAAGGGCTTCCATACTATTTTTGTTTGAGAGTGCATGTGCATGTATACAGGTTTGTGTGATTTTTGCCACATGAAAATACAATAGTTTGCCATTTTCCACAGTGGATATATTCCAACACCTCCAATGAGTGCCTGAAACTGCAGATAGTACCAAACTCAATTGCTGTCAATTGGAACATGTATCTGTTTATGTCTTCCATCCACAAATTTAATGCCTTCTGCAACTTAACTAAGCAGTGATCATAAGCTGTGAGCATAACTTTTGCAGTTTGAGAGGCTACACCAAAACAAGCATGAATTTTTTTCTTCTTCCCAATTTTATGGATAGAAGATTCATTCTTACCAAAGATTTTAGCAACCTCAGCACAGATTTTTTTTTCTTTCCTTGCTAAGAAAAGAACTTTCACCTTTTCACATAAAGGGAGCGCTTTACAGCTTCTCCTTTTGCATATGCAAATTGCCAGCATCACTACTCCTGTGCTTTGGTGCCATTATTAAGCAAAATAAGGGTTACTTGAACACAAGCACTGCCTTACTGCAATAGTTTATGTTAACTGAGCCACCTACTAAGTGACTTGAAATCATAGGTAACAAATAACTCCTTTTCAATTTTTTGATTAGTAATTGTATATATGCATTCATAGAAAAAAACAATATAAAAAACCACCATTTGCTCACGAGATAGCTCTGAAAAATTCATGCTCTCATGATTGAAATAAATTTCAGATATCATATTTTATCCATAAATGTTTCAACATGTATTTCTAAAGTATAAAGATTATTTTCTATATTATCATAATTACATTATGATATTTATAAATTAAAGATTGTTTAATATCATTAAATATCTAATCAGTACTCAAATTTTTCCCAACTGTCTCATGAAATATTTTTACAGTTTATTTATGAAATTAGAATAAAAATAAGGCCCATGCATTAAAATTAGTTGATATGTTTCATACATCTTTTAATCTACAGATTTCTCCACTCATTTTTATCCTAGAATTTGTTTTTAAAGAAATTGCATCATTCTTCTTGTATACTTGTCCACAGTCTGGATTTTGCTGATCACGTAGCTATGATGTCATTTTACATGACCTTTATCCTCTTGGTTTATTATATATTCATAGACTTGTGATGTGATCAGATTTAACTCACAAGAGATATGTAATATTTGGTGATCTCTAATCATTACCTAGATCAATGGGTCTCAACAATTTTATGCATTTTACACATGTAAAAGTGATTAAGGATTGCACAATAATGTGAATGTACTTAATGCCACAGAACGTATACCCCAAAATGATAAAAATGTATATTTTGTATGTATATTTTACCACAATAAAAAAATGAAAACATCAGGAAAACTTTGTTTATATAAGATGTACACTAAATGTATGTCTAGATAGATAGCTAGATACTTATGTCTTAGAAGTAAAAATAAATATATAATTTATAAAATTATATAAAATAAAACATTGATTGCATGTCCACAAAAATAACATCTTTGTTTTCAAATGTTTTCCAAATATTTAGTGAGAAGGATGGTTTTATAGCTCCTTTCTTTATATTTTTGCAATTGTCTTTAATGTCTGGCTTAATACAAAACAGCTACATTTTTATATCTGTTTTGTCATTTAGTCTGATGAAATATTACGTTTCATGTAGTCTCTAAGGAACTATGTACATTCACTAGTGGAATAGAATAAAAAATTTATGTAAGATGTTAGTATTGTTATAGAAATCATTTTGAACTGTGGACCCTCTGAAAGGATATCCCTGGGCTATATCTTATGAATAAATGGCCTGGGAGAAAAAAGAGTATTATATATTCTTCATTTATTTGTTAGAATATTTCTAAAAAGAAATATTCTCCTCAATAATTCCCTCCTTATCCAGAGGTAATGAAAGAACAAAAATACTTTATTCTTTCCATTTATTTGACAGTTTTCAAGACAATGAATGGTTTATATGGCATCCGTCACAGGTGAGTAGTAATTTTTTTTTGCATAATTGGATACTCATGAATTTCAACATATTGGAAATGCTTGACTTATGTGAAATGTTTTTATTGGAGCTCAAATTGTCCCACCTGTGATAGGGAAATCCTTTTCAAGTCTGCTGCTCCTGAATTCTTTCAATATGCCTCCATCATTAAAGACTCCATTACTTTGTGATGTGCCAAGGTTGTTCATGGCTCTTGTAGAAACATTCCACCCCGCACTAGAAATTAGCTAATTCTCCAAGGATTTCTGATCCCTTCTAGTGGGAAAACATGATGTGGAAATCATATTCTAGGTTAGTCCTGGTTTCTAGGTATTCTAAGTAAGAAGCAAACCTAAAAAAAAGTAACCTACAGTTTTAAGGAAAATATCATCATGAGCTCATATTTATACTTTCAATTCAAGTTCAGAACTATGAGGTTTTACTCATCTATCTTACTTCTACTTCTCTGTTCTCCCACATAGAAAATCCTGGTTCCCAATGAGTCAATGTAAATGTGTACTCACCTAATCCTG